ATGGACGTTGTGACTGTGAATCAGATCTAGATGTTGGGGCTCCGGAGGATGAACCATTGACCAAAGGAGAAAAACCAAGTTCTTTCTCAATCATCTGAAGTGTCTGAGGAGGAAAAACTCCTTTCCAAGTTCCAAAAAGATGCCGCATGCTTGGATGCACTGAGGAGTCCACTTGCCTGTATGCCTTACAGAACACCTTCAAGTACAACAAATAACCATAATCAGTGTGCAATTTAATAAAATCATTGCTTTGTGATTTGCTGGAGGGAGATCAACTTATGTGGCAAAGACAAGCAATTTGCATCCACACATTTATACAAGGATAGTGTGCTTCTTACTGTTTACTCGTCCAAGATTAAAATTTACCAGAAAAACATGTCAAGGATTGAAAAACTAACCTCATACAGTCTGGCAGCAAAGTATTTTATGTAATCTCTTCCAATATTTTTTACTATACTGTCTAATAGATAGAGCGAGGGCAACTTTTGCTCACTGGGAACCTGCAAGCCGTTTTTTATAATCAGATACGACATTCTAAAGCTTATCCAGTAAATAATTGAATATTTTGTTGAAGGTGCTCAAACTGGAAAACTGAGAACAAATCATGGAATGATAACAAAGATCAAGTAAAAACAAAAATAGTTACTAAATATCAATAGTAACCATAATAACATATCTTGAATAAAATTGACAATCTAAAAAAATCTTCACATAAAAAGAATCATAAAATAATTTAAGGATTGATGCCTGCTACATGTACAAGAGAAGACTAGCATAAACCAACCATTGAGCATCACTTCATCATTAGTTTCAACATTGAAAATTGTATCCTCAGCATTTATCAGTCACGCCTACTGATTCATAAAGTGGAAATAATTTATCTCCACTATATAATGAATAGAAATTCCTGTATAACTTCTCTTTGTTCCAGCTTCATTACTCTTTCAAAGAAAGAGCTGCCGAATCTTTCAGATATAACTAACCTCAGAAGGGGAAGTAAAAGAAAAGAGAGAGAAAATGAATGCAACATAAAGTGCCTCAAAGCTGGCTGGCTTCTACCTTTCCATAACAAAAAGAAAAAGAATTGAAACAGTTCTTGTAATGGATATTCAATGGAAAAGAGTGGCACTGGCTACATCTAGAGCACATTAAATGATCTATGAAATGATTTCCCACAAATAAAAAAGCCCATCCTATAAAATTGACATTCTCATGGGAATCTGAGACTCTTTGCGTGCAATCTCAGTGAAACCTGTAGAGACTTCTGGATTCCATTAAAATGTGCAGATAATTAGAAGTTGCGGAACCATTCCCAAAGGATGGATAAAAAGTTGAGAATTGGCAAGACATGCAGTCACAGCTATCGTATTTTATTTGCTACAATTTAGTGAAAATTGGAACTGATTAGGTGCAATTCCATTATAATAAGTAACATGGTTGTCATCTTGCACTCATCAATCTCACAGTCTCATTCATAATGATCATCATATCCTCACATTTGACAAAAATCATAGTACAGTTACATTGAATTTTGAACACAAAAACCAATAATTGCTATTGGCATCTTAACAAGTCCATATCAAAAGGAACACTCCACAATACGGTCAAATTAACTCAAACCCAGAAACTTTTCCATTAAAATCCGATTTACACTTACAACTTAGCCATCAATTTTCTTCCTTTCTCCTCATTGACCAATCAAACAGCAAGCACTACAGGGTGTTCCTTTACCATTCTAAAATTTTTCATATTTCTTTCTCTTTGTCATTTTACAATTCAATTTAAACAAGAAATGGGACACGCACGCAAAACAGCGACAACAGTGTGTAAAGCTGGATGTTCACCTCAAGGATGTTGGCGCAGACGGTAGCTGCAACAGCCTTCGCTGCGTGAAGATTTTCTCCAGCAATTATCGTCAAGTTAGTTATTATCGGCTTCGAATTGAAAGTGAGCTCAGATAGCGCTGTCTTGTACTGACTGACGAGCTCCTGGTGCTGCTGCACTACTGGCTGCGGCTGATAACCTCCGCGACTCGAATCATTGTTCTCGGCCTCTCTATCATTGCTGACTCTAAACCTCGAAGCCGGCGCGGTCACCGCAGCGACCGGCCTCTGCGCAAACGGCCTGCCGCTAGGATTCGCAGCGCGAACAGGTTCCTCGGCCAATCGTGGTTTCTTTAGTAGTCCGGGGTCTCTCGATCTATCAAACGGTCTACGCGAATTCTCCATGCCCGTCAACATACAAATTAAAAAAAAAAAAGAAAAGAAAACCCTAACCCTAAATCTCACTGATCCGCTATTTATTGATAATAAACAGTATAATTACATGGAGAACATCGAATTAAAAACAATAGAAAGAATACAATCAGGAATCCATCTAATTAAAGAGGGAAACAAGAATATAAAGAGCCCTAATCTGTAATTGTACACGGAAATGATTACAGAAGCCTAAAAACAGCAATATATGTATAAATAAACCAGCAAAATTTTGATGAAGGGCAGCTTAATATTGGGATTCTGAATATTCTTAGTGGGCAAGATTGCGCGGGGGAGGGGGGGGGGGGGGGAGGAGAGAGTAGAGTCGGGGAGAGTGAAGCTGGGCTTCGCGAAACAGAGGAGGAATTTGATGTTAGGGTTAAATTTTAATTTAAGGAGAGAAGGAGTCTGCTTTTATAATATCTTAAAATAGATCAGTCGTGCATAGAGACGTTTCTGATTTTTGCGGGCGTCAAAAAGTTTTAAGGGAAGCTGAAAAGTAGAGGTCTGACGACAGGGCCATATGGGCCCCATCGGCTTTTAATTGGGCCACGTTTTTAGAATACTCGGGCTTTGTCCAGTGAATTAATTAATTAATTAAACTATTTTATATGGCTAAATGCATAAAAAGATCAAGCTTAGATTCTCCATAGCTGCGAGTCAAAAGTTTTCAAAGCAGCCACTATATGTTGATGTTTTGTTATTGATCGAGAACTAAACAAGATAATTTTAAAATAATATTTAAAAATTTTCAAACTCTATTACCAGTTTCACTCTTTTTTTTTTTTTCAATCTTTAAGTACTTTAAATAATTCTTGTTTAAATACAAAAAAAAAAAATATATATATATATATAGAATAAAAAATAATTTCCTATGTCAAACAGAATTGTACTGTTGTCTTATGTAATATCATTCATTTCTTTTGATTATGATGAATCATCCAAAAGGCAGTGAGGAAACTTCATCCTCGTCCCTTGGCCTTCTGGGTTTCTTTTATTTTGCTGGTTTACTTCTTATTAATGTTTTTCTGCATTTGGCTCGAGTCAAATATCGATCAAATGGTAGTCAACTGGAGTCTTTATCAGGCAAATGCATGGCGAATTGAAAAAGGTTTCACCCCAGGAGATATCGCTTGAGAACAATGTCAGGAACAGGATCAAAAACCTTCCACTGTTACACCCTTTTTAAGTGTTGGTTCTTCCATATTTAGACACAGATTGATCCGGATATGAGCTAAAAGGGAGAGAAATCATGTTCATAAATACACAAGGAAGATTTCACGCGTTTATAGTAATGCAAAGAATAAACTGAAACAATTCATTAATACGTATACAATTCATGATCTATGAAGAACTAGTTTGTGAACATTACAAGGCAACTGATGATTAAATGGGAAAAAATAACTAACGGGATAGAAAATTTATATTGCTGATTCTGCTGCAAAAAGGGATTAATGCTTCAATATGTCAAGATGTCAAATACTTAACAGAAAAAGTCAGTATCTGTGGACTAAGGTGAATACAATCTTCATCTCATCCCCAAAAATATCACCGGAGCTCCTGGATCAGTGTTCTACCATATTTACCATACCAGGCATCCGCGTTGAACCCATCTTCCAAGGAAAGGTGCATTTGAAAACGTTGAGATTCTGGGAACCAGTTGACATCCAGCAACCGATAAATTTTCAGCTATTCCCACTTAGTGTTCTACAAAGACATGGCTCACTTTTGCTAACTTTATAGAGGAAAGACCAAAACTTTCAACATCTTCTTCCGGTAGATGCAATTGAAGAACCTATCACATAGACTGACTTGATCCCACACCAATTCAACAGAAATGCCATCCAGCCAAGCACTCGTTGGTCTGGGTGGTTAGAAAGCTAGGAAGAACGGCCATCTTTGGCATAATGAGGACAAATGATAGAAGGGGCATAAACAAGCACAACTTTTGGGCTTGAAATCTTCAATAGGGATCTTATGTTAAAACTCTTAGGACACTACCTAAAATTGGTTGAACCATAATCACAAGGTTGAGCTCCTTTGAGTAGGAAAGTCAAGGGTTTAGTTACCTGAATACATCAAGATTAATAAACCCCAAGAATTGAAGCTCTTTTCTTCTCTCCCCAATTTTACCACTAGATATACACCTTGGATGTCATGTCTAGAGATCAAAAATTTGATACAAGTATTCCACCTATGATAAGATGATTTGAAAAAGCCTCTATCCAGTAAAAAAAAAAAAAAGCAATCAAGACAGCTCCCATTGTCAATGCTAACGACAAGACTTGGCTCCTAGAAAAACCAGAACATAATGCATATCATCTCCAGCATAACAATAGAAGCAATATGACTCTAAAAGGAGATAAACACAACACCAAGAATGGTAATGTCAACAATGTTTGTACCAGCAAAGACAATCAGCAAAGAAGCAACCATAGAACAAAAAGCAACCATAGAACAAAAAGCAACCAAGTGTGATTTCTTACCTGGATCACACAGGACAAAAAGGTCAAATTTGAATACACCGCTGAACCAGCAGAAGAGTATTGCTTCAACCCACCATGCACACCTGCAATAATCACAACTAACAACTATACATCAGCAGGAAAACCAGCAGACCAAATGCAGCTAACAAGACAGCACAAATTGCTCAGCATGAGAAAATGAATATGGTAGAAGCTCACAAAAGGAATCTAAACTTGCAACACAATCTAAACTACAAGGAATAGAGATAAAAGAGTTAGATAATTAGGGGGAAAAAATTTATATTCAAGTAAAAATATTTATATGTGATTGTCCAACTAGTTAATAGACCCTATTAATTGAGAATAATTAAAATCCAGAAGGGTAGCTAGCTGCCAGCATAGAAGCAACTGAAGCCTAAAGAACCATCCCCTTAAGACCTATCATCTTTTTGCTAGCCTGCCTGACTGTCAGGTTCATCAAGAGTAGATTCATCAGCACATCCTGAACCTTCTGCAGCTTGTTCAGGCCCCAAATACCAGTTATCGGGGAATCCACTTGTAGTTCCCAACTCCGGCAGATTGTAGTTTTCAAGGTTACTCCATAACTCCTCGCTAGAATTTGACATGCCGAGACTGGCATTGAAACCAATGCTCCATCCATCGTCTAGCTTCGCAATGCTTTCAGTTCCAACAGATGGGAACTCTGGAGTAGTCTTCTTCTCCACCAAATCCTCTGGGAAAGAGATAAAATAATCAAGATAGGTCTCCTGTTGTGGGCTCGCTACCTTCTTTCCTTTGGAATGAGGATCTTCCCTTCCGAAGCTTGATAACCCTTCTCCAAACTGATCTAGTGTTTCGATGGATCCTTGTGTTAGCACCAACTCATCTGGGACAGTTAATTCTTCTGAAGGAATGTCCTTGACTTGAAACGGTATTTGTTCTGACCCTAAGTCCATTCCTACTGTACCTTGCATGAATTTATCAGGAGATAGCGCCACAGAAAATTTACTTGAATCCAATGCTGGAGAAGACATAGCAAGGTTGCTCCAGTTAGTTATGTACTTCACAATCTGCCTTTCGGAGGAAGGTTCTGATTGCTGATGCTTTATGAACTTCTTCCTCATCCTTGAAGAGCCAGCGTCTTCCTGATCTTTCTTCTCCTTGAGACGGGCTAAAAAAGCTGGATTTTGGAATAATTTTGCCAAGAATGATAACATTTGCCTCTGCCTTCTTTCAGCATTCTGAAGCCTCTGCTTAACAACTTCCACGTGGTGAACTGTTCCTTGGTGTTGCTGCTGCAGTTCAAGTACTTCCTGCATTAGGATACTCCTCTCTTTTCTCAACTTTTCCACCTCACCTTCTAATTCGGATCTCCCTGCCTCTGAAGGACCAACGGAGCTGCAAACCTGTTGGGATTGAGGTGACCTTCGCCTTTGAATGTTCTTGAGAAGATTCTTTCTCCCTCGCCGGAAAGCTTCATTTGCAAATTCCCACCTATCAGTATCAATCTTGCGAAAGCCCTGAATACAGCACCCAAAAGGACTCAAGAATAAATGGAGAAGAACATTAGTCCAAGAAGCAAACTACTTAAAAAATGATTCTTGTAATAAGTTCGTTCCATCTTTAGGGCCTTAGAAGCCGTCAATTTTCACATATAGATGCAGCCGGATTCTCCTAGGAAGATTATCTGTGTATCATAAAACCCATTCTTGAGAGCAGACAGATAATAGTTAGATCACATCACATGATTAATTTGACAAAGTAGAACAACATCAGACATCCATGAAACCTGAAATCTACCTGCAAAAAGTTGCAACTCCCACCGATCTTTACGTAAATAAAGTAAACCTCAGGCCTAAATATATCCTGAAATATAAAATTTAACCATCTTCTTGGAATTTCAGATTCATGCTAAAAGGAGAAAGCCTAACATGCATGAGATATAAGAAGGAAGGCCTCAAGATAAAAGCTTTTTACAATCGTTCCATGCTTAGGGATACACCAAGATATTACAGAATCCAACACATTTACAAATACTTATGTGACCGTCAAGTTTAATTACATATAGAACATCAAAAACAAAGTAGAAACAGGAAAACAGAAGCGGGAAAAATACAAAGAAAAAAACAATGACAAACATCTACATACAGATTGCCCCAGCCAGTACAGGCAGTATACCCACATAAGTATTAAGCTGCCGAACAAAACTGGAGAAATTGTTGTGCTTGAAATTTCGAGGAAGTGTGAACCGCGCGAACTCCAACGGGTCCCATACCACGAAGCTCTCTCCACTTGGGCCCCAGGATATTATGCGATCCAGGTCCGGATCATTCACCAGATCAAAAGTCTTAGACAAAAATGGCGGCACCGGGTTGCCTTGCAAGCACTCCAAAGGCTGAGGCACACCAAAACTCGCGGTTTCTTCGGCAGAGGATAACGGCAAGTTTTGAGCGGTTTCCCCAACTGGGATTGCCTCGAATTCGAACATATGCGAAGAAGAAGTAGGGGATTGCTGTGGGTGCACCGCGGAAAGGCCCTCGAACTCCATCATAGGAGAAGAGAAAGGAGAAGACAAAGGAGACCCAGAGAAACCCATTGCTGTTTCCACGAACAGAGACCCAAAAGGAAATTGTTGAGAACTCACAGTCGCCGGTTGCGACGGAGGTATCATTTCGGGTTTAACTGAAGTCCCAGTGGCAGAAGCAGAAGATTTATGAGGAGATTTTGAAGCTGGCTCCTCCTCTGGATTCATCTACTGACAATATGTTCAGCAAAACGGGAGATTCTGATTAAAATAAGAGAAAGAGAGAGCGAGAGAGAGGAAGGATTAATAGAGAGTTGATTTGGATTAACTCGACGGGCTTTATAAAAAGATTGCCGACCAACTGTTTGATAAAAAATCTTCTGAGAAAGGCGGTGGATGATCGGGTCTTTTTTCCTCATTCGAGCATAGCCAATGGTCTCTTTGTCGGTGGTGTCGTTGGTGGCAGGTAACTGACGAGCCCCTTGGTGTTTACCAGGGAAGATAGCAACCTGGAACTGGTACATGAGAGCGAAAGATAAAGTGCTCGCCGACTCAAGAGATTTTGGGTTGTTTCCCGGCAGTTCCTTTCGTTGAACTTGAAACAGTTGGGATCCGAATTGTGGCTCCGGTTCCATATTTTGCGTAGTAGGAGGCAGTTGGGGCCCCGAGCAGGCTAGATATTTTTGCCCACTAGAGAAATTCTGTCTGAGATTTTCTTATTCATATCCAAGGTGGAAACTTTATGGTGTTTGAAAATGAAAAGGAGTCAAAATATTTTCTTGGTGGCGAAGGAAAAGGAAGTGAGTGTATGGAGGTAAGCCAATAGCTGCGGGTGACGACGCGTGAGGCTCGGGTTGCAGCTTGATCAGATTCCAGCTGGCGGCTGGATTTCACGAGCCCCTTGACCCTAATGTTTTTCTGGAGTTGATATACTTGTGTTTTATCAATGTTTTACCTTAGGCTTTTACACTCAAACACAAATTAGCTAATAGTGAATGATCAATGTTTATCAATTGGTTATCTTTTTTGTTTTAATTTACTTTTACCCAAATTTAAAAAGTAACATAATATTTCAATAGTTTGTACGTTTTTCAAATTCCATGATTACCGACTATATAACTTAAAAACTTTTCTAACATAATTTAGAAATATTGCATTTTATTCATAAGTTGATAAAAAAGAAGATGATATCATCTTCAGTACTCTTTTGCACAATTATACAGCTTCTATTCTGAGTAAAGATTTTTAGGGCTACCCATAACCAGAGTCATAAATGAGAGTTCGGTAATTCATTAGCACGTTCGATTTCCCCGCTTTTATAATTTAATTTACACTTTATTATTTCATAAATTTATTGATTTTTAAGAAAATATCTCACCCGTCCGATATTGTAAACACAGCCTAAAAAGATTTAAATTAAAACAACTAAAATTTTGAGTAAAACCCTTAAAATTTAAGTTAATAACCTAAAAACCAATAGTTCTGTTAAAATTGTGAGAGAAAAATATATGCTTCAAATTACAATGAAGGCAAGGAAAAACCCAAAGAGGGAAACTATAGGTTGCTTTTTTCACTGCTACAACATATAAATAAAACATATGCTTTGGAAAGTAAGTATTTGTGACACCGCGGAATCTGCTTCTCATTAACTAATTTTACAATCTTCATTTACAAAATTATGAGAGAGGGGTATTATACAATTTCTTCCGCCAAACATGTGATGAAAAGTTGTAAATCCTTGAATTGCGATTCTTTAGTCATGTTAAAGAATTAGAACCTCCAATCGACTATGAGAACATAAATGTACAACAACAATTCTGCAACACATCATGAAAAAGAAACCATGAGCATCAGGATTTGAACAGTAAATAATCAAAAAATTCAAAATTAAAAATAAATAAATAAATAAATAAAGCACACACCATGACCAGGTAAATAGAAAAGTTCTCAACATATGGCTATGTTTGGAACAACTAAAAAGTTAATTCTGAAATTATCTAATTTAACTAGATGTGTGTGAATATCACATCTGTTAAAACAATGAAGAATATCCTCCAATCTAATTTCTACTATTCTGATAAAATTTCTTCATAAATTCCACAAATATTCTTGATTTTTTGACAACTTAGCCCAAGTTGGGCACACAGATACATGTACGTATACGAGTGTACGCGCACACATTTCCATGCACCAGCATAAATCCACCCTACCAGATATTGTCCTATCTCATATGCAAGTATGATTTATCTCCACTCCACACCCACATTGTTTTGTTCTGTGGGTAACTGAAGCTGAAATGCACAAACGTCCACCAAAAAGTTCGCTTAGGTGGATATCTTCGATTGATAATCACTATCAGTCATCTTCAAGAACAAATCAGCAGGTATAATAACCTTAGCTCCATTTGTTGCTAGAATATTACATGATGTGAAAAAAAAAAAAAAAGAAACCTAATGTAGTTTACCATCCACTATTCAAAGCCTACGTGAAACTTGTTGATTAGGGCATTACTCAGAAAAAGGTTTAAGGATCATACCTTGAACTATCTAACCAGCATGCGTCCCTCCCTGGCATCAATCTCAAAAAGAATGCAGTATTATGTGCAGAAATAAAGACTACTCAGATGTTCCAGCCCTTATGTAACTAACGACATGTCCGCATGGCCTGATTGAGGTGTATGAGCTTTGATCAATGTCCTCAACAAGTCCATGATAGTGGCGAAGGAAGGTCGCTTCCAAGGCTCACTGCCACACAACCATTTGTGATACACATAAGTCACTGAGATGTGAAATGACTGTCTTTACTCGGGAACTTATCAAACAAAATATGAACTCCAGACTTACTTAGCCCAGCAAGCCTCGATTATTGCAGCTACTTGTGGATTTAAGTCGCGTGGAATCTCAAGCCTTTTGCTCTTGAAACCAACAGCCGCCACAACCTAAAAGGGAGCATGCGCACACCATAAGAAATAAAAACAGAACGAAGAATAGTAGAATAATAGAAAATCTGGACTGACAAAGAAACATTAATATAAGCAAAATGGAAGAAATCAATATGCAAAAGGCCCATATTTTCATGTTAGCAATTCTCCAGCCTTAGAAAGGGATCAAAAATTTCCTTGAGTCGTTATATCAAAGTGCCACAGTCCAAAAGGTCGAGACAGTTACAGGGTAAGGAGGTCTAGATTTAAGGAGACAATCCACTTACATGCTATAACACGCAACATAATTAACATTCCATCCACGGACTAGATTAGCAATATTTTCGAAGGCTGTATTCGGTTCAAATGTTAATTCCATCGAATAGATAGAGGATCAAGTAGAAATAAAATAAAGGTTGAAAAGAGAAATGTGTTCTGTTCAGTTCAAACTAGGTAGATTTGCAATTTTACTTAGTTAAATAAGAAAAGAAATCTATCACAATTGAATTCTATAGGGGCAGAATTAGTTCAATTATGAATCGAACATGAAAATTATGATACATCCCTACAGTGTCAATTAACAAGGCAAATAACTTAACATTCCAAAAGCCTGTTGAATGTGCAACCTTTTGCCCTTTCGAAAAACACAAGATTTCAGCTTGTGCCAGAACAAGAGTCTTTAATGACTTCATTTATAGGTCAAAATAATCAGAATTAATTTTTTTTTAAAAATGATGGGAATTAACTGGACAGGAAAGAGCTTGATAGCTGGGCTTCAAATGCCCGGCTTCCACCTCATGTGAAAGTCCCTGGCCAGTAGGCCATGGTAGGTCCTCGCCTTAAAGTGATAGTTAATAGTTAGCCATGTAATTGATTATTCAGTATGGAGCACCAACACCAAAGCCTGGATAAGTATATTATCAGTTCATAAGAAGTTTTTTGTATCCACTTTCGACTCACCAAAAAGGAATCAACAAGAAAAAGTTGAAATTCAGATATCAATTACTCAGTTTGCCAAATCAATGCTAAAGCTGGGATAAGAAAATTATCAGTTCTATAAGAATTTCTTTACATACATTACTAAGTCATCCCAAAAGCAAAATGATCATGAAAAAGTTGAAATTCTGATGAATTGAGTAACACCTGCATCAAGGAAACAAACCTGTGCTGGATTTAGTTTGCTCCAGGGTTGTTGCATTGTAGCAAGCTCCCATAAAATTACACCAAAGCTGTACACGTCTGACTTCTCATTCGATGGTTCATCACGGAGAACTTCTGGTGCCATCCACTCAGGCTAACATAAGAACAATCAAGAACACCATTTACTCTCTTACTTTCCAATGCCATGATAAAAGTACGACCCAGATCCCTTTGGTTTAAAGTAAAGAGAAACTTACAGTTCCAGCTGCGGACTTTGATGAAAGGAATGTGTTTGCTTTCAATCGAGAAAGACCAAAATCACAAACCTGAAGAAATAAACCAGCTCTTAAGAGTAAGTACCAGAAACTACTTTATTTGCAGACTAGAACCGGAAACACTTAGCAAGAATACAAGTTACATTAAAAGATCAAAGCTAGGAAGTCAGCAAGATAAGGGTCACATGACCACACATATTCACCAAAGAACTATATTGAAAATTTTCTGCCCTGAGTACCAGAAAAATGCAGCAGACCTCGAACAAAAAGACAATAAAAATATACACCTTCCAGAATTTAGCAACTAGTCAAATTCAAAGAAACACAAAAGACACCAAACTTGTGTTTTTTAGGTGAACAAAAAAAAAACTTGACTTTCCAGAAACCTGCATGAATGAAAAAGTAAAGGAACTGAGTAAACAAGCTGATATCCCTAAAGCTTAAGTCGGAAAATGATGGAGGAACACTGTAGAGTTACACTCAACTAATTGTACACCAATATATTTTTTTCAAAAAATACTGCTGCAACTATTGAATTCAGTTGCAAGGTTAAAGCTGAGGCAGAAAGCAGTCTCACATAGGCTTCAAGCTAAATTGAAGCTAGATCCCTGACTATATTTAGAAATAGTGATGAGGCAGGTGAAGCAATATCATCCAGCTCAGTCATTATTACGTTGAGATCTAGTTGTCTATATATTAGAACCTTTCTCTTACCTTCACTGTATACTTCTTATCAACCAAGAGATTTGGAGATTTCAAATCTCTGTGAACAATGGGAGGATTGCGTTTATGAAGATAATTCATTCCTTTTGCCTGGAGGAAACAATAACAAGTCCTTTAGCAAAGCTCAACATAGAAAGTATGATAAAGATGAGATGGTCAAAATGAAATCCCTTGCATACCACATCATAAGCCATATTTAGGCGACGCCTCTCATCCAAAGTCTCTCTTGCAACAGATTTGTGCAAAAGCTTATACAAGCTACCTCTGTAATCAAAGTAAATGTTAGATTCATTTTACAATTTGTTTTTCTTTTGAATAATTAATTTTATTTATTTAAAGATTCTTTTGAATAACGTTTCACAAATTATATAAGCATCTGAAATCCAAGATCCTAAAAGGCGTAAAGTTTCTTTTGATCAGAAGTACGAGGTTCCAAGAAGACGTTACAAAACCTTGACAAATACTCCGTCACTATAGACAGGTTTGGTGGTTGAGTGACGGCACCCATAAAAAGAACAATATTTGGATGTCTGAGGCGTTTCATTATGGCAACCTGATAAAAAGAAATAAGTAATCAGAACCCTAAAATTCAATCATGGTTCTTGTATGCTTGGAAATATCCTATAAAAAACTTATATATTATATACCTCCCTAAGAAACTCCTTGAAGCGTTCTGCATGAAAATCTTGTTCCATGAGAATCTTCACAGCAACATCCTGTAGTAGTCAAAATTATAAGTATTTCCATAACATCAAACTTAACATTTTCACCCTTACATTAAATAACATTGGGCTCTCCGGCAATACCTATCGTACAAAGTACATGATAACTAATAAATTCTAGGATCTAGATTCACTGATCAGAGATCAAAGAAGAAAGAACGAAGTTGTGCCATCATCACCATTATAGCATGAATCAATGGCACAACTGCAGGCTTGTGGAGTTGCATCTTATGCATGTTAGTCCTCTAGATGTGAAACCAAAGCTGCAGAAATAAGATGAGAATAGAAATAAAGCTAAACCAGATTTCCCTTTCTTTTCTCCTCTTGTTTGGATACAAATGTTTTCTTTGCTTTTTATTTGGCAATCCAAATTTTATAGTAGTGAATTTCATGACCTATGACCATAAGATGTTGCATAGGTTGCCATGTTCTTCAAAGTCAAGTGAATGGCCAAATAATAACACTGCAGAGAGTTCAACACCATGTGCACATGAAAAGATCCCTAGATGATATCAGCAGTTCGATACCCACAAAAGAGCTAAAGCTAGAGTCCAACACAGGAGAGAACATAGGCATTAAACTTCTAGTAAAAATAATTCAGCAATGATATGATTTGAGCTTTATAGTAATAGTAAATGGAAGGAAGCATAAATGGCTTACCGAACCATGCCAATCAGCTCGATGGACAGTTCCAAATGAACCTGAAAGTGCATCAATCTGAATGTAAGTAATATTACCAATATGGCTTCCTAGAAGATTATCATAAGCATCCTCATGACAAGCTTGAGGGGTGAAAATGTTGCCTCAATAAAGTTGACTACTATTTTGTTTACAAATGGTTCTCCAAAGCAGCCACAAAAAATACCTGCTCCAATTCTCTCTTTTAAAACAAGATCACTCCAGGGAATGTCCAAATCTTCAAAATCAAAGGACAGTTCTTTATTTGGCTTGCTAGGAACCAGTTGACCACCTTCTGGAAATCTTGAATCTTTGACAGTGTCAACCCTTTGATCAGAGTAGGCTAAAACCGGTTGAACACCTCTATGACCAACAGGAGCAACATGCTTAGGCATCGAATCTTTGATATTGTTTGTTGACTGTAGAATGTTTTGAGAAGGATTAAATGATTTAATGAGTTGGGAATCTCTGTTCTGGGCACTCGGCCGAACAAATTTGGGTGGCAGAGATGCCTGAGAAATTTCAACAACTTTATCTGAGATCTGCACAAGATTGTTTCTATCTGCTCCAACCTTGTCAAATTGCTTAGAAAACATTGAGAATCCAGGATCCTGAGCATCTACAGCAGCAACAAAAACAGTAAAACTTAGTAGCAGGCAAATTAGGACATCCTCACCAGATAGCTACCAAATCACCAGCTTAATTACTTTACCTACAAAATTATGTGGAGGGAAATAATCAATTTTACCACTTCATAAACAGAAGAAAAAAATAAACTCCAAAATGTACAGGTGAAGTAACAGATAATCTAATGCCATTTGGTATATGACTTAAGTTACTTTCATAATATGTAAGTAAGAAGAAAGTATCAAGGAGGTTCACACATTATCTATGACTTGCAAATAACAATCATATAAGGCCCTCAAATAAAAGCTTAGGTGTACACAACAAAAGCATGAGCAAGCTATGACTTCAAATTAACTTTAGAGAATTGTTTTGTAAAACAGGAGACACTCCTTTCACCATATTTAATGGCACTCCTTTCACCATATTTAATGGATACATAACAAAGTTTTTTTTTTTTTTTTTTGAAATAAGATACATAACTAAGTTATGAACATAACTCGTAAATAGAGAAGAAAGTATCAAGGAGATTCACACACTATTTATGAACCGTAAATAACAATCATGCGACATCTATACGGAAAAGGTGAAAGAAGCAAGCCATGACTTCATATAATTGCTTTCTGAAACAGTACCTGCTGTAGGCTCATCAAATACAAGATTAAGTAATTGGCAGTCCGAGAAATACTGTTTGGCCAGTGACCTGAAATCAATGGTAGGTTCAGCCAATCTGGGTCGCGGAAAGCGCAATGGTGAAGAAATTGAGATGGAAGATGGACCATTAAGCAAGGAATCTGGCTCGCATAAGTATCCAGGCTTCCCAACCAACTCAACAAGATACTCCCTGAAATTAAAAAAAAAATGTATTTCATGACATCTCTCATTGTAGAGAAACACTGAGTGAAAATTATACTAGTAATTTTGATACATTTCTATTATACAAAATAAAGCAGGTGTCAGAACTTGTTAAGTGCAGGCGTTCACAAGCTCAAGGAAACTAAAAAAAAAAGCACCACTATGACACCCTTTCAGGTTCACAGGACAATTCAGAAGCTACTTTGGCACTTTTTCCCAATTTCTTATCGACAGCAAACTTTTTTTTTTTAGATAACTTATCAACAGTAAACTTAAACCCCTCTTATATATTCAAATCAAATAAGGATCCCTTATATGCTTATCTCCTAACTCAATGCACTAAAGCATTAGATTCAAAAGCTGCTTAATTAACTAATTTAATTGCCCTGCGAATAATTTTTAGTAATTTTATCCATAACAGTTCTACACATTTTTTGAAACTAAACCCCTTTAAGCCCTGTCAAGCAACTTGTATCAATTATTTATACTTAAAATATAGTAACAGAAGCCACTAATACGCATACCTATCAAGTCCAAACCGAACAAGACAGGATGTAGCATCAGCTCTTCTACAATACTTGCAGCCTTTTGCAATCCGGCACGGTAAATCAATTGCATCAGCTAGCACCTACACAGATCACAAGTTCCTAGATTTCATATCCATCAAAGAAACAATAAACTATAAAATATAGATTTTTTGCTGCTACAAGGTTCGGATATGTCAAGCAGAAAAAACATACGTCTAAAACACTAAATATTTTTTGAAGTTGCTGGGACTGAAAACAAGCAAATCTAAAAAGAAATTGCTGAGATGAACAAAATCTACAATAGCTTGGAACATTTCAGTCAAGC